CGCTCCCTCGCGCCCGCCCGCCTGCCCGCCCGCTCCTTCTTGAATTTAAAGTGACAACCCCGAGAGCTCTCTCTACTCCAGGGAGCGGAGCGGCGCTGCGATGATCGGAGTCTGAGATCCCCAAGCGCGGGAGGTCCTGGGGGGTGGTCGACCCCAACCTCGCAATCGCCGGCCGGTGGACGTGTGGTGGGAGCCGTGTGCCCACCAGGGGTGTCCCGCCCCCTTTATATTATTCTCCTTCTAGCCCTCAGTTTCTTTGTCTGTAAAACGGAGCCACAAGAAAGCAGACCAGCAGGCAGCGCAGCCAGCAGTGTCCCCTTCTCCGAATGGCTAATACTCCCTTCCATGACTGAGTTGTGATTCTAGGCCATACCAGTCCAGGTAGCCTACCGATATCATCTCTTGTAAATTCCGCAGTGACCTTATCCGTAGCCACTCCATTTTTTTTTTTTTTTTAAAGATAAGGCTCAGGGTGGATACCAAGGCTACAGTGCCAAATGTCAGAGTCAGAACTTGAACCTGAATCTTTGTGACTTAAAGTCATCTTCCTTACTCCCTCCCTCCACACCCACCCTCTCTCTCTTTTTTTCGACAGGATCCCTCTCTCTGTACAGCCCTGGCTGTTCTGGGACTCACGATGTAGACCAGGCTGGCCTCGAACTTACAGAGATCCACCTGCCTCTGCCTCCCAAGTGCTGGGATTAAAGGCATGTGCCATCACACCTGGCTCAAAACCTTTCTTTTTTAACCTCTTTGGGGTCATACTTTCTCTTCCAGAGGAATGAATGAATCATTCAGGAGATATTTATGACGCCCTCACCCAGGCTCTCGGCACAGTGCCAGGCGTGGGCGATCTTCCATCTTCCGGGAACAAGGGACAGGTCCTTTCCCTGCCTGCGCAGTCTGGCAGGGAGACAGGGCGGGTATTAGGAGGGTTGGGTGGTGCATACGGCAGGGAGGGGCGGGGAACAAGTGTTCCAGACACAGTAACCAGAACATCGGGCTGGAAAGGCACCTGACTAGGCCTCAGGGAGGATCTGGGTTCTAGCAGAGAAGTTGAGAACTTCCTAGGAGAGCCAACATGGGAAAGCTGGGTTGTCTGAGAGCTGTGATGGGTGCTGACTTCCCAGTAGAGGCTAGGACTGTGTGTCTTTGTGGAGAGCAGATAGACAAGCTTAGTCCAGAAGACCAAAGGGATGATGCAATTTCACCCTCACCTATAGGGGGCACTATCATTTTCAGGACCTGAAATAGAAAGGACATTATGTGTCATTTCCCATTTAACTAACCTTCATGGCTGCTTGCAGCTTTGGTAGGACTGAACTCATTTTATTTTTCTTTTCACTTTTAAAAATTATTCCACATATATGCATGTATGCAGGTGTTCAGGAGGCTAGAACCAGAGTTGAAGGTAGTTGGATGCTGGGAACTGAACTCTGGTTCTCTGCAAGCGCTCCTGAGTCCATTGTCTATGAAGGCCTGGTGAATGACTGGGTTGCTGCTTTAGGAGGGACTGGGGACTTAGGCAGGTTTGAAAGAGCTTCTTCTGATGGAGGAGCCAAAGATAAAATATCTGTGGGTTCTCTTCTGGTATAACTCCAAGGGGCTGCTACACAAACTGAAATAACCTTGGAATGAAATCTTGTTTAAAAACCTTCGACAACCACAAACAAGTCCACACATGCACCAAGAAATAAGACTAGAATGTTGACAGCAGCTCCAAACTGGAGACCACAAAAGCTCACCAACAGCTGCGTGTGCAAGGACACTGTGGTACACTGTCACACCATGAAGTGCTGTGTAGCAAAGAGAAGAAACAAACAAAACCCTCCACTAGTGAATGATGAGGGATTGCACAAACATAAAGTTTTGTAAGAGGCCCGACACCAAAGGACACATGGCTGCTAGATTCCATTTATAGGATGTTCACAAACAGCAAAACTATTCTCTGCTTTTAGAGGCCTGAGGGATAGTTCCCCTGGGGCTGCTGATGCAAAGAAACTTGAGGAGGCTGCTAGAGTTTGAATATGGTTTGAGTGTACTACCCCAAAGTTTCATGTGCTGGAGCTTGGCCTCCAGTGTGTTAATACTAAGAGGCAATGGGACAGTTAGTAGCTATGATCTAGCTGTTAGATGACTGGGTGTGCTGCCCTTAGAAGGGATCAAGGAGTTTCTCAGAAAAGCCTGCTTAGTTCTTGGTACTTTGAAAGAAAATGGCCCCCAAAGGCTCAGGAGGTGGCACATTAAGAGATGTGGCCTTGTTGGAGTAGGTGTGGCGTTGTTGGTGGAAGTGAGTCACTGTGGGGACAGGCTTTGAGGTTTTATATGCTCAAGCTACACCCAGTGGCACACAGTCTCCTTCTGCTGCCTGGGGATCAAGGATCTCAGCTCCTTCTCCAGCACCATGTCTGCCTGCATGCTGCCATGCTTCTTTTTCTTTCTTTCTTTCTTTCTTTTTTTTTTTTTTTTTTTCTGAGACAGGGTTTCTCTGGGTAGCTTTGGAGCTTATCCTGGCACTCACTCTGGAGATCAGGCTGGCCTCGAACTCACAGAGATCCTTGTGTCTCTGCCTCGGAATGCCGGGACCAAAGGTGTGCACCACCATGGCCTGGCATACACCTAACTTAAAAATTAAAACAAACATTTAAAAAGAAGAAATACAGCCAGGTGCAGTGGTGGCACACACCTTTGATCCCAGCACTCGGGAGGCAAAGGCAGGTGAATCTCTGTGGGTTCGAGACCAGCCTGGTCTACTGAGCAAGTTCCAGGACAGCCTCCAAAGCTACAGAGGAATCCTGTCTTGAAACAACAAAAAATAACCAAACAAACAAAAAAAGAAATACAAGGCCAGCTTGGTCTATAAATTGAGTTTCGGGACAGCCAGAGCTGTTACACAGAGAAACCCTGTCTGGAAAGCAAACAAACAAAAAAAAAGAAATGAAAATTGCAAATCTATTATGCATGTGGAGATCAGATGATAAAATGACAACTTGTGTGGGCCAGTCCCCTCCCTTTTTAAAAAAGATTTTATCATGTATACAGTGTTCTGCCTACATGTATGCTTGCACACCAGAAAAGAGAGGACCAGTGTGGCCCCGACTGCAGTCATTTTATTTCTTGTGTGTGTAAGTCAGAGGTTGGACGCTGACATCTTCCCCAATCGCTCTCCTCCTCTCCATTATTATCATCATTAGAGACTCTCTATGTAGCCCTGCCCTAGAACTGGCTCTGTAGACCAGGCTGGCCTCAAACTCATAGAGATCTGCCTGCCTCTGCCTCCCGAGTGCTGGAATTAAAGGCGTGTGCCACTACCGCCCGGCTGGCCCTCTCCTTTTTGTTAAGACAGGGTCACAGCTCAGGCTGGGCTTGAGCTCAGGACCCTCCTGCTTTGGCCTCCTGGGATTACAGTCATGTGACACTACTTGGCACTGACTCACGTCTCTTTTTTTTTTTTTTTAAAGATTTTATTTATTTATCATGTACGCAACATTCTGCTTCCATGTATATCTGCACACCAGAAGAAGGCACCAGATCTCATAACGGATGGTTGTGAGCCACCATGTGGTTTGCTGGGAATTGAACTCAGAACCTCTGGAAGAGCTTTCGGTGCTCTTAACCTCTGAGCCATCTCTCCAGCCCCGACTCACGTCTCTTTTAAGCAATGCTGAACTAAGATAGAGGATTCTGGGGTGCTATTCCTAGCTTGGACCTCAGTGCTAGTCTCCCTCATGTGTTCCCCATGTGAAATCCCATGATTCCACACACTTTTCTGCACGTGTGATATGCTTTGACCTAGTGTGACAACAGGAAAGCACTGGAAATAGAAGTCAAACTCCTTCTGTGGTCCACAAATCCTGGTGAGCTGGTCACACTGGCCTTTCTCACCCATCATGCCACGGTCCCTCTCACCTACCAAGTTCCTACTTCCCAAACCTTCTGTTCTTGACACCTGCCAAGCCATTTTCCATCTCAAGACTCTAGCATGCTGGTTACCCTCTCTGCAAAGTGTTTCCCTGGCTCTCACTGAGCTCTATCTTGTTTTGTTTTGTTTTTAAACAGAGTTACTATATAGACCAGGCTGGCCTCAAACTCACAGAGACCTGTCTGACTTTGCATCTAGAATGCAGGATCGAAGGTCTTGTCTCTCTCTCTCTCCCTCTCTCTCTCTCTCTCTCTCTCTCTCTCTCTCTCTCTCTCTCTCTCCTTTTTGAGACCAGGTCTCCAGTAACTGGGGTTGTCCTTGAACTCCTGACCCTGCATCACCTTCTCAGTCCTGGGATTACAGGTGTGTCCTCCACTCCTGGCTACAGTCCCTGTACTTAGTTCTATGCTTGGACAGATTTTGATGGTCTTCCTTGTAGAACTTGGGACAGATCCTGCCGTCTGAGATAAGGGAATAGGTTCACAGGGAATGCTTGTTAAGTGAAAAGAGGGCTAGAGTGGGAGAGAGGAGTGGAGCTTGGACCATAGAGTGGACAATGAGGAGAAAGGATGGGTAGTAGTATACAGGTCTCACTACAGTATATAGTGGATAGTAGCATATAGTGAGGGCACTGGGGACCTGGGACACTGGGAATTACACATAGGTCACGGTCAGGGCCAAGCTCTCACCGAGGGCCTAGGAACACTTCTCCCACTGCCAGGCACAGAGGCTGCTTCCAGAGGGCACTCTGTCTTGAGGATCCACACCCTTCTGGGGTTCCTAGCTGTGTGTAAGCCCCTGCAAGCTCTTCATCAAGTGCTCAGACTTCAGTGGCCTTAGAGAGGTGAATCACATCTGTCCAGAAATTCTCTGGACTTTTGGGACTTCCTCATCAAGAGAAGGTCCCAAGTGACTTAAGAGTCTAGGTTGTGGCTGGATGGTGGTGGCACATGCCTTTAATCTCAGCATCAACAGGCAGACACAGGCAGATCTCTGTGAGTTCAAGGCCAACCTGGTCTACAGAGTGAGTTCCAGTACAGCCAAGGCTACACAGAGAAACTCTATTTGTCTCAAAAAACAAAAACAAGCCGGGCATTGGTGGTGTACACCTTTAATCCCAGCACTAGGGAGGCAGAGGCCAGCCGGGTCTACAGAGCAAGTTCTAGGACAGGCTCTAAAACTACACAGAGAAAGCCTGTCTCAAACAAACAAGCAAAAACCAAAAACAAACACAGAGAGTCCAGGCTGTGGGCTGGGCAATGGAGCCTGCTCACTGTTTCATCCCAGACCCACCTTGTGGAAGAACAAAACAAATTCCCAAAAGTTATCTCTGACCCCCCACACACTTAATTTGTCACCCACACACATAAACACAATCACAAAAAGTAAATAAAATGTAATAATAACAGAAATAGAGTCCAGGTTGTAAACTGGATATATGGTGGGTCAGGCTCCTCAGTGTAACCAGTTTCATGAAGAGCAGGGGCACCACAGGTGAGCAGGCCCTTGGGGCTACTTGTCAGACCCATGGAGTTGTTGTGTGGAGTTGGCCTACAGAGAAGAAAGACTAGCCAAACCCAGGCTACCAAGCTCTGGAATGTGGGCCCCAAGGTCAATGCTCCAGTAAGCATTGACCCCCTAAATCAATTCCCAGATTCTGCCTTAGCTCCTGGGGCCACTTATCTTCCATATAACCCTTGATGGCCCAGCTTTATAGTTTCCAAGTTTCCAATTCCACTCCAGGGAAATGGGTTCCCTGCCCTGGCTCAATGCCTTCATCTATAGGATGAAAAGGAAGCTGTTGAATGGGCTTGGCATGTCCTCAGCAGGTGGGAGGCACTACAACCTTCTCTTCATATTTCCTTTGAAACAATACTAATAAAATTTAGGGAGCCGGGGTTTGGTGGCGCACACCTTTAATCCCAGTCCTCGGGAGGCAGAGGCAGGCGAATCTCTGTGAGTTCGAGACCAGCCTGGTCTACAAGAGCTAGTTCCAGGACAGCCTCCAAAGCCACAGGAAACCCTGTCTCGAAAAACCAAAAAAAAAAAAAAAAAAAAAAAAATTAGGAGTGAGTGTGGTGGCACACTCTTGTAATCTCAGCATTCATGAGATGGAGGCAGGAGCATCAGGAGTTCAAGGTCATCCTCCACTCCATAGGAAGTTCAAGGCCAGCTTGGACTATAGGAGATTCTGTCTCAAAACAAAACAAACAATAATGAAATGTATATTGAGTTTGCCTCTGTGTAAGACTTCCTGGCTTATTATTTCATGTAATTATCAAAATATTCAGGGATGAGCTGTTTCTAGGCAAGTGGATAACTCTGACCCTGGCAACCGTAGAGCTCACAATCCTGGCTTCAAATCCTGCCCTG